TTTTTTTTTATTTATTTATCTTACCCCAATCGACTTACCCTCATTGCTAATCTTATATACATAGACTGATTTTTCTTTTTTTTCTTTTTTGACTTTCCAAGGAGAAGAAAAAAAGTCCCATTTACTCACAGCTGTTTGTTTATACAAAAACAAAAATCGGGGTAAAGAATAAAATGTGTAAGAAAAAAAAACAAAAAAAGATAAATCTGAATTTGATTCTCACCTGTTTTAATTGTTATTACCTTTTTATTTTTTTCGAAGGGTTTAGATCTAATGATAATACTGTATAAATGTATTTTGAGCTTACCCATTTCTTTTTTTTCTTGTCTTACCCGATTTTTATATATATATATATATATATATTTATATACAAACCTCGAATAAAATGGTTTTTTTTTTCTTTCTCTGGAGAAATGCGCTTAACGCGCTGATTAGTTTTCCATGTAAAAATGTATATATATATACCTGTCTGATTTTTCCATATTTTATACGTACATAAATGGTTTCAGCAAAACAACTGAGTGTATCTCACACACGCATCGATGCTGTTGCGTGTCTAGAAGACAAACAGGCAACGGACAATAGCCTCGAAAAAAATGGGACGAATTTAAACGGTGCGTATTTTAACACGCATATAGATCGAATGAAAAGAAATAGCTCAACAAACCTGTATAAAAAAGACCTGAAGGGACGAGATCATTCTCACTCACCTGAATATTTTCCAAAAAAAAAACCATTTTTTAAAAGTTGTTTTTGAATACAAATATAATATTCCTAATATTCCTATTTAAAATGCTATCAAACAACAACAAAAAAAAATAACACTAGGAATAATAAAATCTGAACTAAATTTTTCCAACTCAAAACTTAAATAATACTTTTCATCAAAACCACTTACCGTGCATATCAGATTCTTTTTCATATTCAATAAATGCATAACCACGTGGTTTACCCGTTTGTGTATCATGTATTAAATTTATCTTAAAAAAAAAAGAACAAAAATTAAATAGTACAATCCCTAATGTGAAACATGATATCTGTCGGAAGTCCAAATTTTTACCGTTACTCTTTAGTTTTTATCAATAAAAATTTTAATCTACTTACACTTTTAATTTTTCCATATACTTCAAATTCACGTCTTAATTTTGTTTCTGATGTATCATAATTCTATAAAAAAAAAAGAATGTTTTCTTTTTTGTTTTTTTGATTAATATCAAATCTATACTTACAAGTCGAGCAATAAATAAAGTTTTGTATGGATCGGTTGTAGCTGCTTCGTTATTATTTGGATCCCCTAATAAAATAAAATAAAAAATTTTAAATTCTAATGAAATATAAATGAAAGAAAATTAATTAATTACATAAAGAAAGATTTTCTTCAAGTTGAAGAGCTGCTTTTTCAGCTTTTTCACGTGCCTAGGTACACAAATCAATATAAATTATATTTAAATAATAAAATTTTTTATTTACTCGTCTAATAACTCGTTCTTCTTTTGTTTCAATTCTTGTTGGTGGTGGTGTTTCATGTGCAGCCTAGAAAAAAATTTATTTGAAATATTTTATATATCTTATTTTCATATATATATATATACTTCAAAATTAGTCATAAAATCAATTAAACCACCATATGGTAAACGTTTTTTTTCATGTGGTAATTTATCATTTGGTGGTAAAAATGGAATTGAATCACGTGGTGCAAATAATGCAAGTAAATTTGGTGGTAAAAATTGTGTCATAATTGAATTTCAAAAAAACAAAAAAGAAATCCAAATCTAAAAAATATCAATAATAACAAAAAAAGAAATTTTATGTTCTTGTTATATTGTTGTTTTTTCTTATTTTTAGTTGTTAATTTGTTTTAATTTCTTGTTCTCATAATAATAAAAAAAAGAAAAACCAAAAATAAATACAATGAATATTTTCTTTTCAGGCTTTCTTTTTTGATACACCAACAGTACGACCACGTCGACCTGTTGTTTTTGTATGTTGACCACGTACACGTAAATTCCAATAATGACGAAGACCACGATGAACACGAATTTTTTTCATACGTTCTAAATCTTCACGAACTTTTGTATCAAGATTATTTGATGTTGCTTGAAGATATTTGCCATCTTTTATATCTTTTTGTCTATTAAGAAACCAATCAGGAATTTTATATTGTCGTGGATTACTAATTATTGTAATAATACGTTCAACTTCATCTTCAGTTAATTCACCGGCACGTTTTGTTCCTTCAACATCAGCCTTTCGTATAACAACATGTGCAAAACGACGACCAACACCTTTAATTGCTGTTAATGCATATCCAACTTTTCGACGACCATCAATGTTTGTGTTAAGTACACGAAGAATATGTTGAAATTTTTCGGGTTGGATTAACGGTGATGACATTTTTTTATTTTTTTTTTATATCTAAAAAAAATTTTAAAAAATGAAGTAATTACAAATGAATAGAAGAAGAGCATAGTGGACAAGAGTAAAAAAGAGTGAATGCAAAAAAAAGGAAAACAATAAACAAATAAACAAAGATATTAATTTTTTATCCATTGTTATTCATTGAAATAAATTTTTTTTTAATATTTTAAAAAAGAAAATTAAGTTTAAAATTTATATATGAATATTTAATAGAAAATATTATTTTATTGAAATGCATTAGTGAATAAGAATCGTTCAATGGAGGTATTGCTATGCAATACTATACACTTATGGCGGATATCGACATCTATATTTTCTTTTTTTTATATTGAATTTCAGATAATTGGGTATTCGTTTAGCTGGTATTCTATCGTGTGATGTTATAACATCACACGGTGGAACACTTTTTAGGTGGGGAACACCAACTTTAATCTTACCTACAGTTAATTAATAATGCTTATGCTTGATAAACATTTAAATAGTATACAAAGTTAATATAAAATTTATAGTCCTATGAAGTTTTCTATTCTTTGATAGATGTCAAGAGAGAGGCATTTGGGTCATTACTATAGTGATTAAGAGACAGATATAACTGTTGTCGGGTCAGAAAGTTTATGAATGATTTATGTCGATATAGCGACATTAGTAAGGAAACAACCCTACTAATTGCATGTATGGTTGAGAAGAATATTATGTTTCATTTAGTATGGAACTATTTAGATATTAAACTTGAAAAAAAATGCCTGTTTCATTACAAAAATCGTTAGAAACCGTCTCAGTCAAATGCAGTGCATCGCATATAAGCAATAATCTAACTATCAATCGTTCGTCGGAATTACGTCGATCAACCATGTATGGTGTATCACATAAAAGTGGTTTTACTATGGTAAAAATAAGAATATTATAAATAATCAAAAAACAAATCAGCCTATATGAACATTCTAGGCAACTGTATCCGAAGATGGAACTAAACGAATTCAAGGTCAAGTAATATGTCGTGTTGCCGGTGGTAATAGTAATACTACAGCACCGGAAATTGATGCTCGATTTACTGTTTATGTTATTCAAGTAAAGAAAAAGAAGTGCAAAAAAAAACATCTTGTTTTTTTTTCAATAGGCTGCCTTTGTTAATTTACCTATTCGAAATTTACTTGTTCTTGCTTGTACAAAAAGTATTCAAGTAAGTGAAATGATAATCAATATTTCTTACATATTTTTTTTTTCTTTCATATAGATTTATGAATTAGATGGTACAACAAATCTACATATTCATATGCTTGATAAAAATCATTCAAATAAAACAGGTAATAAAAGAATTTTGTTTGAATTTAAGAAAAAAAAAACCATATTTATTATTGCTTTTTAGAATCATCCGTCTATTCACGAGGTATTGCAGGTATTGGTCAAAATTTATTATGTGTTGGTAAGTGAAAACTCTTCTGAAAAGATAAATAAATACATTTTTGTTTTTTGTTGCTTTCATAGGTAATCATCAAGGTGAAATCCTTGTATTTAATATTCCTCCAAAAGGAACAAATATATTTCTTAAAGAAACAATACATGGTTAAAAAATAAAAAAAATAAATATATATTTTTTTTTCCTATAAAAATAACAATTTTTCAATTAAGGTCATCAATTTGGTATAACATATTTAGTATCAAATGCTAATTTATTAATATCAAGTGATACAAGTGGTGTTATACTTATACGAAATATACGTACAATGTCACAAATAAATACAATACCATGTATAGATGAAAGTGGTGTTACATCATTATCTATATGGAATAATTGTATTGTAGCTAGTTATGCTAATGGAATGATTCGTCTTTTTGATCCTGAAAATGGTGAGTAAGAAATTTCATGATTTAATAAAAACAAAAAAAAATTACAATAATATAAATAGCTCAAATTTGTGGTTCTATTGCTGCTCATGCAAGATGTATTAATGCTATTGATTGTAATGAACAAGGTTTACTTGCGTCTGTTGGTGATGATTGTTTTGTTAGAATTTGGAAATTATCCGGTGATGCAAATAACTTACAGGTAAAATATTATTCTTTTTTTTGTATTTAAATTTAAGAGAAAAGTCCTTCGATTGAGAAATCATTTTTTCAGTCGAGTCTATATGCATTATGTAGATTCAAATAAGCTATGAATACTCTGAAAGAAGTTTGTGACTGTAACTTATTTCTATGAAGATACTGCAGTTTTATGGTATCGTTTAAATGAATGCTGTGATCCTGCTCACAAACTGATTTTCAAATTTCGAGTTGAAACCTTGCATAGAGATACAGGTTTGTTGTTCCATGAATGTTTCAGATCTTGTCGCTGTTTCTATATCTAAGATACAACTATGATAATAATGTGTCTTTTACATCGCTGATATAAACCGGTAGATTTGATATTCTTACTTCACATTAGAAGCAAATCAAAAGACTTGAAACTACTCTCGTCAAGGCTTTTTTGTCGCACAGAGCTCGGGCGAAAGTGTTTGCACTTGTACTTTTCGTACTTATATACATTTCAAATATTAAAGTTTATTCGATTAAGTAGTTTAACCGTCTACTAAATACATATATGAACTTAATAAAAATTAAAATGATTTTCGAGTTTTTGGTTATTTATGTAAAACCTAAGACTCTTTCATATTTCTGACGTGTTGTATGAGAAATAAACGATGTTCAATTTAGAAACAATTAAATATGGATTAGATCAAATAATTCTATAAGTTTTTGTTAGAGCTGATTTTCATCCTAAGCATATTAAATTTTTTAAATTATTAGTCATATATCAACATACATCTGATAAATTGCTTTTATTTTAAGTTCAATATTGTTAGAAAGAATTAATGATTTTAATCTAAACTTCTAGTGAATCTTATATATATATATAAGAACTATATTTATCTATGATAGTTCAAATAATGTCACGATGATCTTGAAGAACTTATCAGACGTAGTCAAACACTTTTCAGAATATTCATAGCTCAATTGAATGTACATAATGTACATATTCTCACCTAAAAAGCGATTTCTTAGTCGATGGACTTCCCTTATTGGATCGAGATTTGTTTCTTTTTTTTTATCGTGATATTTTAGATTACTCATGAATGCAATTATCATCTTGAAAATAATCAATTAGTAGGTGTAAAATTTTTAAATTTATCACGGGCAGATTTAGCTGTTTCATCATATGATTCAAATGAAGTTATAATTCTTCGTGCAATATAAACAAATCTCAAATTATTCATAGAACAGTAATTAATATTTGTTGTAACTTTATAGTCATCTATGGTTTTTTTTTCTTTCTTTCTTTTTGTTGTCTTGTTACAATTTTTAAACAATAAATGTTAGACATTTAGTAAATGTAACCAAATTATTTTGAATACAATAAATCAAATAAATAAAATGAATTAATACAATTTGTAGAAGAAAAATATTAAGTTGATTTTTTTTTCTCTGAAGAAATATTGTATAATACGGGAAGGAGAGAGAGAGAGAGAGAAGGAATCCATGAAACTTTACTTTTGTGTTACGATGAAGATTATTACGGAAATTACAAATAATTACTGTGCTATCAGAAATAAACATTGTAGATAGAGTAATGCTATTGAAAACATTTCTACTGTTATAGAACTTTTCAAATTGTAAAACAAGCGATTCATTCTATATAATTAATGAAGTCTAACGAAATCTTTTGTATCTATTGTTCTTTTACAAAATATTAAAAACATTCTGTTTTGAAAATTAATTAAATATATTTAATCAAAATTATTTTTATATTACGGTAAATAAAATTTGAATGATTTTGATAGGTTTTATGGAAAGTTTAATTCTATTATGTAAGTAAATTTGAGTATGACAATTTGTGTTTTTTTTTAGATATCTTGAAAACTTTTATTACTTTTTTTACATCTATTGTCAAAATATAGTGATAAAAATATTCCAGTTCTTTGTTCTTTTTTCGCAAGAGTATGTGTCAATATTTATTGGTACATTTGTAAAAAAAAAAACGTTCTCTTCACTTTATTACTAGAATAAATACATGGTTACAATAAATATACAAAAAATACTCTAGTCTAAATGTAATAAGAGTAATGGCATATTTTTATCGGATAATTATCAACAGTTATTGGATAGAAAACGTATAAATGAAAATTGACAAGAATCGATACTAGTGGTCAAGAACATGAAGTACTGATCAAATTTAAAAAAATATATTCAATCAAGTCAAAACTCTAAAGATTATACAGAATTCGATTTATAAAGATGAATTAACCGATTTCCAGAGCAATTGATTTTAAATATATGATCGATAATAATGATAACAAACGGTCAAGTTCTCAAATGTTGCTACAATTGATATCAAAGATTTTATTGAAAAAATTCGATTTGATAGATTAAGTTAATAATTTTCGTGAAAAACATAAAAATTGAGAATAGCTCGAAGGTCTAATCTTTCATACATGACATGAATGAAAGATTAGGCACCTTGTTTTTTTTTCACATAGAATGATTAATCTTCTCTGTTTATGTGTTTTTTTGATTATGTACTCCAAAATTCTCAAAGGCGTTTCATTGTAGCCGATGGCTTGTTGTTTTGCTTAAAAGATCATATTCAGATGTAGGGCATGACAGAGCCTATTTTTTAATTAAATTTTGTTACTCCTATATAAAAGAGTACTCTTTATAATTAAGAGTGCCATTCCTTAATAGAATGAAGCCCCACAGAGAGATTTGAGTTGCCAAATGAGTTATTTTTTACACTTGTTAGTTGAATATCCTCCGAGAAAACATGATAGTATAGAGCTGAAATTTTTATCATAGCCTCTCCACTATAGCCCCAATGCATCCTGAAAATTTGATACAATGTGAATATACCTGGACCAAGATCAATTTTTCAGAGAGGAAAGCCTCAAAGGTATTCGATTATTGAAGAATGGACTGATTAAACATTGAATTACCGATTGTACCTTTATAAACAGGTAATGATGACACATTGGTTTCAGATTGCGAATATTGGCAAGGTTCATTTCTATTTTCATCGAACAAAACAAATTGTTTAAATTACTTACCGATCTTCAAAAAATGTCTTTTTCATTTCCAAAGTATTCGTTACATTAAATATTGAAAGCGATTATTTTCGTATCTTTTTCTCTTATATTATTTTCTGTATTAAACAACTAGATAAAAGTTTTTAATAATCTTCTAAAAAATTCTATCTAATATTTCATGTTTTTATTTGTGCAAAATAAGAATCGATCTAAGCAACATTCGAATTTTAAAAAAAATTCTCTCTATCCCACATTCTCTAACATAGAAACAAAAAAAAAACAAACTACACATTAATTTCAAATATTTTGCTATTTTATTTATAAGTGACAAAAAAAGAGGCACGCATATGAGAATATTGATATTCAAACAGGAAAATATCAAAAGAGGAATTGAAATGAAGATTGTACAATAATAAACATACAATGACTTCTTAGACAAAATAAAGCAAAACGAACAATAAACATACAAATAATGAATAACAAAAGACAAAATAACAGAATAAAACGAGTAAACTTATATGTATATATATAGAGAGAGAAAAAAAATAATACACTAGATTTTTCTATTTTTTTTTTTTTTTTTTTTTATAAATTTTTCTTTCTTTGGTACCACAGTTGCTGTGTTTTCCATATGACAAGATATATAGTGATCAATATAACACCGAATAGGAAAAAAAAAGAAATCATGAAAAAGATTAAACTTTATGTTTGAAATTGAGTACACTTTTTTTTTTAATTTCAAACACGTTTTGATTCAATTTGTTGAGCAGCTTGACTTCGTTCAGTTACAATCATTCGGGCTTGATTTTTACGTGTTATTGTAATCTGACATGGACCAAGTAAAAATGGTTCACCATCTATTTCCATTGGTAAATCTCGTCGAATAGTTAATTTTATTTCACTTCCTAAAATTATATATATACATAAATAATTTTGACAAAAAAAAAAAAAAAGATAAATTTTATTACCTTGTGCTATTCGATGACCACGTCTTCCTAATCGAATTCTAGCTAATTCAAAATGTTTAAAACCAATTATTTCTAAATAACCATCGGAACAACTTTGTTCACGAAATCGATCATCATCAGCTTGTGATCGAGCACACCATAGAGTATCATAAATACCTTGCCATGGATTTGTACCAGCTGCATATGATGCTATATTTAATATAAGTATAGCATCAGGACGAAAACGAAATAAATCTTCATGCATATTTCTTCCATCAACATGTAATTCAAAATAATTTGCTATATTTCCAAATAAATATCGACGATCAAGAAATGTATTACTAATAGAAGAGAGAAAAACAAAATAAGCATTTTAAGACGTATTCAATAAAAAAAACAATCGATCTTATGGCATTTAAATCGTATGAAATTTATATTTTCGAGAACTAATAAGGATTACAAAAAGATTTCTCACTTTATGTGAAATAACGAAATACTAAACAAAAAAATTCATGTCATTTTTGTTTTTTGAAAGCTACTTTCAATTTTCATGCAAATGGACTTTCTTTTTTTTACGAGAGTTTAAGAATCAAACATACCAACTAATACAACCATAAGCTAATTTATTAAATATTCGATTGGCATAACGACGTGGACTTGCATTACGTTTTTCATGAAAATCAAGTGCAATCTAAATTTAAAAAACATATATTTCATTTTTTTTAACTTTTAAATTATTTAGAATAATTTACTTGTGCATCTGCACCAAAACTAAGATAATTATTAAAAACAGGTTGAGGAATCTAAAATAAACAACAAAAAAATCCTTGTTTTTTATTTTTTATTGTATAACTAACTTTTAAACTAGCAACTCCAGTATGTGCAGTAGGTTTAATATCAATGTGCCATCGATCAAGTAAACGTGTCTCTGATCGAGCTAATGACTGTATAGCTGCTGCTAAATCTTCACCACGATAACCAACACCCCAACCAAGAAATCTAGCCATATCATTACCAGTACCTAATGGAATAACACCAACACTAACAAAATCCATATATTGCATTTCAGATATATCAAGTGCTGATAGAACCCAACCAACTGTTCCATCACCACCACATGCTATTGAAATAAAAAACAAAATAAAAATTTTATTTAAGATAAACGAAAAACTAAAAACCAACCAATAATTCGTAAATTTTTTTGATGTTGATTTTCTTTTAAACCTTTTTGTGGTCCATGATCTTTTACAAGATCATATACATTTTGTTCACCTATTTGTTTTCGTAATTGTTCGAATACAACTTGACCTTGTAAACCACCACTTAAACAAATAAAAAAAAGACCAATATTCCATAAATATGATTTTTTTATCAATATAAAATAACATACGATTTTGGATTAACAAATGCTATAATTTTTTCTCTACATGCATCTGTTTCAGTAACTTCTAATAATGGTGTTTGTACGGTTGTTGAATTATCATCCGTCGGTGGATTCATATTATTATTATTATTAATGATTATATTTATTATAAAATAAACACTGATATTTTTTTTCGTTTATATTATTGTTTTAAAGTATTCGTCACAGCAACTAAGACGAAACATCTTGAAACAAAAAAAAAGAGAAAATAACAAACGACTTAACTAGGAAAAAAAGAGCATTAAACAGAACAGAAAAAAAAAATTGTCTTTATCCCACATACATTCGATAGACGGTAGCGTTTTATTTACTGCATTGTAATTGGTCAATTTTAAATCATCATTTTTTTATTGTTGAAATCATTGTGTCTTTTTTTTTTCTTTGCCGAAAAATTCATCTGATGATATGAATAAAAATAGATTCATTACTATTGTATTTTGTGTCACCTGTCTACTATCTATGAAAAGAAAGGCAATTTCTTTTTTTTTTTTGGTTTGTTTGCTTTCTGCTTACTGAAACTTTCTGTCAAGTTAACAGCTGGCAATACTTATACGTTTTCAACAACATACGAA